ATTTATCGTCAGAGAATACCCAAGAGAGGAAGGGAGATACTCAGGAATGAACGTTGTCTACTTTATGATTAAACTTTGGCCGGCCTTTCTTTCCTACATTTTTCCTCCTACATTTGATTGATTGCTGTATTAATTTCCTATCGCTGCTGTAACAAGGGACCACAAACTTAGCACAAAACGCTCTGGCCTGTGTACTCAGTGGTTAGAGCATCAGCCGGTGCACCTAAGGGTCAGAGGGTTTGATTCCAGTCAAGGGCAAGTACCTGGGTTGCAGGTTTGATCCCAGGCCGTGGTCAAGGAGGATCAGGGAGCCAATCAATTGATGTGTCTCTCTCACATAGATGTTTCTTTTGCTCCCCCACCCCACCACTCCTTTCCAATCTCTCTAAAGATCAATGGAGGAAATATCCTCAGGTGAGGATTAAGAAAAACAATACACAAACACAAAAACAGCACAAATGTATTATCTCACAGTTCTAGAGGTGGCCACAAGGCTGAGTTTCTTCTGCGGGGTAATGGAAAAATGCAGTTCCTTGATTTTTCTAGATTCTACAAGCTGCCTACATTTCTTGGCTTATGGCCTCCCACTGACCTTTCAAAATCAGCAGTGTGGCATCTTCAAATTCATTCCTTCGTTCTCTCTTCCTCCACCCTCCTCTCTCTCTCCTCTGCTTCTATCATCACATTTCATTTTCTGGCTCTTTGCCTTCTTCCTTCTCCTATAAGAACCCTGTGGTTATATATTAGGCCCACCCAGAATATATATTAATCCAGAATAATCTCCTCAACTCAAAATCTTTAACTTAATCACATCTACAAAGTCCTGTTTGCCATGTAAGTTAACATATTCAGAGTACAGGGATTTGGGGAGGCAGCATATTCCTTTACTAGAATCATAGCTTCTAATAGCTTCTCAAATAATTCCTGATTTAAGCACAAAACTACCAGAGGGGTAAGGCTTAAAATATGTCATTTTGTAAGACTGCAGCATGGTTTAGGAACTATTAGTCAAGCTTATGCGAAGTATTTCTCTTTTATTTACTAAACCCACATGTTGCTCTTATAACATAATAACTGATTACTATGTCTGCCAAATTATTTATTAAAATGAAGAGAAATTTAAGTGTTTAATGGGGGGAGGGGTGATTTTTTTTAAAGGTATTTTCCAAGGCAGCAGGGCAGAAAGAGTTACAGCTCTATGGACACAGAGAAATATATTTACAATTATTTTAAACATGCAGACATAAAAATCATTAGTATGAAATGCACATATTCAAGTAAGCCAGTTCTTGATGAAAACGGGTTTTATAAAAATTGTCTTTTATAACATCAAAACAGAATGTTGTCTTTTCAAAACAGTTTCCAGATGAATAGCATATCATAATGTATATTTGCTAGCACATAAATAACTGCCTGAATACAAAAAGATGGCATGCATAGATAAAATTTGAAGATATGTGATACAAACAAAGCAGATATTTTATGATTCACTGCTACATCTAATTTTGTGTATATATACACACAATACAACCTCTGAATATTAAAATGGTAATTCCTATATACTGGTTTTTGGAACCTGATATTAGATCACTAGTACAGATTGAGTGGACATATAAACAACTTATATCATTGGCTAAAAATTAGAAAAGATAATTAAACTATTGAAACTAAAGTGGAAATACAAAGGCCAACTCAGTTGTTGTATATCACTTGATTAACTGTTGAAACAACAAGTAGGGAGGGTAGTAAATACTTTGGGTGAAAACTAAACAAATTTTAAAACCTTACATGCATGTAGCACAATATGGTGTGATGTGAAGAACAAAAAAAATGACATGACATTAACAAAGAAAGCAGAAAATTAAAAAAATCGATGGTTAAGGTATTTGAAACTAAAGAACAAAGCAGTTAAATTGTCAGGTATTAATGGACAGTGTTAAGAAATACAAGCAAATACAAAGAATGGAGTCATTAAGAAAAAACAAGCTATCTTCAAAAGTTGAAACAGAACGTAATCATTGACTAGATTGCATGGGACAGGGATAAAGCTGATTAAATAATAAAAATATGTATTAAATTGTCAATGACCTGGAGTTTAATCCGGAGAACTAAAAAACAAAACACTGCTGTTTGGAAAACATGGCTCAAAATGAAAGGCAAAATGACGTGGACGGGTTTTCTCTGCTAGACACTGTATCCTATCAAAGTACTAATTACGCATGCTCATTTCTTGCAGAAAAGGTCATTATTTTAGCTCTGCACATTTACATGGCACTGCATCCTATTTACCACCTAGTCAAAAGCCACAAACTTTCTTGGACTTTTTATAAATTTCATAAAACTAATTTCTATAATGTTGGGTCATAAAATTTGCACTAAAACAATAAAAAACAAGTTAGTAAGAAAATATATACATTTAAAAAATAGAATTCAGCCCTGCTTTAAAATTACCTTCATTAATTTTCAGTTGCTTAATGCCACAGTATCTTCCTAATATTGTACAAAAAAGCAAGTGGGCAAAATTTGAACAGGAGATTTAGAACTCTATTTGGTGTTCTATTTCCAAAGTTATATATATATATTCCCATATATATAATTGTATATGTAAACTCCCAGGTTATATTTCAATTTTTAAATATAACCTCTATAAATATACGAGATGCCCAATGCACAAAGGGCTCAGCCCTTGCAGCGCCGGCTTCATTCGGAAGGTTGTCTGGAAGGTCGTTCGGCTGTCCAGTCTAATTACATATTATGCTTTTATTATTATAGATTACCAGATTTTTATGAATGATCTTTAATTTTTTTCATAGTTAAAAATTCCTGTCATTTGTGTAAGTTTAATAACTATCCAATTGAGCCTAAAAAATATATCATCCTTGGCATGTTTATTTTCACAATTGTTCTATTTTAGTAAGTACAAGAAAATTGCTTATTACTTTTGTCACAATATAAATTTTCATGTTCTAATATAAAATACTGACGGGAATGTAAAAATTCAATTAGACATTCAAATAACAGCATAAATATTTATTTTTAAATAAGATGAAAATGCTGCAAAAACTTAACTGTCATCCACCAAGATATGCTAACATGCAATGGCTAAAAATGTTTGAAACAACAAATGTGGTATATAAAAAGTTATTTAGATGGCAACGTATATGGTCGTGAGTACAGGTACTTGTTGAATGAAGCAGAGGCCTATAAAACACTGGTTAACTTATAAGAAATATTTTAAAAACATTTGTTATGTGGATTTGTCAATCATTTGAAGCACAAAATAAATTAGTGCATTTTAATGTGCCTACATTTTATGGTACTTTAAAATGTAAAATATGTATGTGGGATGAGAGCTATATTATTACAACTTATAAATCGAAAATTTATGTTCTAAATCGTGTTTTAAGATGACTAAGAAGAATGATTTAATAATTTCTTTTAGGAAATCATAACTATATGCAACTGGAGGGTTAGAGGTAAAAATAAATAAATGAAATGAGGAATCATTTTTAAAATATATTTGACAAGTCTGTTATTAAAGTATTGAAAATTATTCTTTCATGGGTCAAAATCAAACTTTAAAGAAAAATCCATAGACTACAGTTACAGTTGTACAATTCAACACATTCGCTGATACCATATACCACATACAACTATACACAACATCGTCTGCTGAGAAAACAGAAAGATGGATACAACTTTCATTGATCAGTGTGTTTGCACCTAGGAGGCCTGAATGCACTGAAGAAGAAGAAAGCTAAACAGAACACTAGAGAACATAAAAATGAAGCTGTGTTACCTGTGTCGCTTTTTTTTTTTTTTTTGGCTAATATATAATATAGATCAGTAAATGGCCCAGAAAGTTAAAAACATGTGTACCAAACATAATATGGTGAGTAAATAAAGGTTAAGACAGAAATAAAATCACTCTGTTTTTTTTTCTCAAACTACTAAAAGATATTATTGAAATAATATTAAAGGATGCCAGTGTGAAATGGCTATATTTGACAAAGGAATAAAAAACTAGTAGAGGACTTAAAAGCAATTTTGGCTCCTTTGCTTGAAATTTTCTAATTAGCACCACAAACAACATCAAAAAATAAATCTTAATCTAGAGCAACAAGGTTCCTAAGTAAAAACAATTGGTACCAAGTCCTTGAAAATTCAGAAAATGGTTTCCTGCCTCCTTTCCAAACATCCATGTCCTCAATGTCAGTTAAAACTCATTGCCTTAGTCCTTCAACTAAATTCTTTACTCTTCTGAATTTTTCATTTCCTACAGACAATTCCAATTGCTATGTTATCATATTTATAAGTCATAGGAAACTTTGAGTCTTATTCATGTATGCTTTTCTTATTTCTACTGAAAGGTTGAATGCTTTTGAAGGGTTAGGACTTTTCAATTTCTCAAACTTTGATAGTTCTTTACAAAATACTGAGGAATGATAAAAGTGTGTAATTATTATATTATTAAATTCAAAAATTTACACTGTTTTTGAACACTGATATAGGACATTATGCATTGAAGAACTATAGTGTTATCACTTGGAGAATGACTGAGGGTTAACAAAATGATTACTTAACAAAGTTGTATGTACATTTTGCTCTATCTGAAACTAATATTTTAGGATCACTGGCTGTAAAGATAATTCGATCATCAAAGCAGTTATTGGATCTGGACTAAACTTACTATTTGAATAGTAAATTTAGTGGTCCAA